GGCAGGGACGCTCGGGTTTCTGCGCCAACCCGCTGTTGGGGCAGGGAAGGTTCTCCAGTCGGTCTCTTGAGTTTTCTTCATGAGAGCAGTGCGAACGTCGACAGAACCTGGCAAGGAGGCGAATACGACGGCCTAGGCTCTAATCGGATCAGACCTAATCCGTCCACAGCCAAAGCCATTAGTTTAGATCTTGCACAGCAAGGCCCACCCAGCGCATTATCGGGCAAGGGGTGAGCCTGGTCCCCAGTACTTTGACTTCGCCTTGCTTTCTCTAAATCCAGGGTGGCCCTTGAGTCCCTTTCTACGTGCCAGGTGACTGCAGGTGACCAGTTCTACCCAAACCCAATCACTACCGGGTGCACATGGAATGTGCAGGTCTCCGTTCCTAACCTAGGTTCACTGCTGACTGGGAGGGAGGGAAGGCAGAGCTACAGCTCCGTCACAGAGTCGTTCCCGCCTCCAAGTAGCCTACTTCTTGATGTCTTATGATCGACCTAAGTGGTTATGATCAGCTCAGCCCAAGGACACGAGACAGCGTTGGTGTTGATGCTCTCAGTTCCGTCAGAGAACAAATATGATCAAGATGGGAGCCATTATTTAATCAGTTTTACTCAAATCTTCCAGCGGGGTTGCCTCAGTTCAGCACTTTTCTCCCACAGCTACGGCTGCGGCTTATCTGCTCAGGCTAGAGTCCCCTCCAGGCTGACAAACTTCTTGCCACACAAGCTCAATTTTCCATCCCCCTGCCCTCTGTGAGGCCCGCCCGGCCTGTTTAGTTATGCACTTACATCCTGATCAGGAGCTGGCTTGGAGGTGGTTCTGTAGGGCCTGAAGAAGGCATCTATGTCTGGCATCCCAGCTCCTTGAGTTTGGAGTTCCAGTCAAGAGGGAGTTTGCTTACCAAGATAGAATACCTGCTTCTCTTCAGTTCTTGGGTGGTAGTTGTTGGAAGTTCTTATCTCTTTCTTGATCTAGAGTAAGTCTGCGTGGAAGGTCCTGTGTAAGTTCATGTCTAGGGCATGGTCACAGTAGAGTGTCTTTTCTTACTCATGGTAAAACACTAAGGGGTAGGGAGGGCACTTTCCTAAGATGAGTGAGGCTTTAGGTTCAGCTCCCAGTAATGCAAAATAAGTATTTGCTGGTCATCGTAGCTCATGTCTGTAATCCCTGTCTGGAACCAACTAACCAACCAAATTATCAACCCTAACTTATTTCCCATCTTTAACTATCCTTTTAAATTATTATTTTTTGATCAGTAAAACAAACATGATACAAAATGTAAAGTATTTCCTTCCTCAACTATCTTTTCCACCCCCTGGAGACAAACCCTGCTACCACGTTGTTCAATTGTGTGTGTGTTGCCTGAAACGGAACCTAGTGCCTTCCTTGGACATTCAAGGAAAGTGCTGTCAATGAGCTATATATGCAGCACCAATTTGGAATTAAAAAAAACAAAAACAAAACCAAAACAGAGCAACTTTACATTCTGATTCTCCCTAGCACTGAAATTGAGGATGCCTGTAAGTCGAATGGGAAAAGCCCATTCAGGGAGGCCTATGCAAAGAAGAGCAAGATTTAGGGAAGGCTGCAGTATGAAAGGGTCTGGCAAGCAGTGTCAGAGGACTGTCCAGTATGTACATGAAGGCTGAGGAAGCTTAAGTAATGACATGAGAACTAGACAATGAAGCCACCTACTTTTACCATGGCCTCTATCCACATCATGTATCATTTGGGCACCAGAGATCTTCTGTATGGTAATGGCTTCTTCATGTCTGTTTCTTAACAGGTTTTGGTAACTTGCCTCCAGAGCCAAGCCATAAAGACCATTGCCATGACTGTCACATGCATCCTTATGTACACAAAAGAGGCACTGGCTGTGCCAGGGGGCTCCTGTCACCCTTTCCATCGCCACAGACCAGGCATAGTTTGGTCTGGCTAGAGAACATCAGTTTGACTTTAAATCCTCAGGATAAACACTAACCTAATGAAAACTTGGCTTTTTTTTTTTTTCCTTCCTCAAAAGTACATTCATCTGAACATGGAGGCTTTTATTTCACCTTTTAAAGATTCGTTTTTGTGTGCACAGATGTTTTGCCTGCATATGTATGTGCATCACACCCACACCTGGTATCCAGGAGGCCAGAAGAGTATTATCAGATGCTGAGAACGGGAATTACTTGGTTGTGAGCCACCATGTGTATGCGCTGTAGGAACACATGCTTTTAACCTCTGGAACTCTATAGACCAGGCAGGGCTCACTCACAGAAATCCACCTGCCTTTGCCCCCCCAAGTGCCGGGAGTAAAGGTATGTGCCACCATGCCAGGCTCAGCCTTAAATCAAGCCCACCCCAATCCACCCCCACCGCCTTGAGACAGGGTTTCTCTGTGTAGCCTTGGCTGTCCTGGACTCACTTTGTGGACCAGGCTGGTCTTGAACCCAGAGATCAGCCTGCCTCTGCCTCCCGGAGTGCCAGGATTAAAGGCATGCAACACCATGCTGGGCTTCAGCCTTAAGTTCTTAAACCCCCTGCCTCCCCTCACAAATTCTGGACTTACAGGTTTGTCACCATATGCCTAACTGCTATGCCATTAGTAACATCCCTCATAGAATGCTCAGGCTTTTGATCCTAGGCCTGGAGACAACCTTTTTGTTGGGTGGTGGTGGTGGTAATGGGCTACTAGGAACAGGCCTACTCACACCATTCCTAGTAGGAAGGGTAGGGCTAAAAGGCCTTTGTATTGATATAACCTGCTCATGTTGGAGATCAAGTGTGTTCATCTCAGAAAAAGGGTGTCACAAACTGGGGAGCCATTTTGCCAGGCAATGGCTTGTATTAGATTGGGAAGGGCTTTTGAATTTATTAACTAACTCCAAAGCCAGGCCAGTCGTGGTTACCACACAAGTAATTAACTAGACTTCAGAAGGGCCCTGGTTCATTGGCAGAGAACTAAGTACTTCTCAGGCCCGCTGAGAATGGCCCAGAGCTGGGCATGATGGCACATGGGAGGTAGAGGCCATCCTGGGATATGTGAAGGCCTGGCCAACAGACAGCAAAAGTGAGCTGACAAGGAGTGAGGACTGCTACAATCCAGTTGGCTACGAGAAGTCTATCAGGGTCAAGGCCAATTCAGATACAAGACTTCAGCCTGTCACAACCCCTGAGATCTACCACCTCTGCCCTAACACCTGCTCCATCTAGGAGGGCAGATGACGGGCTGCTAGGAATCAGACTAAGACATCCTTTTTTTCTGCCAGATGCCTACACTGTCAAGTATGGGTATTTTGCTGAGGTCTTCACAAACTACCTCTAGGGCAGGTGATTTCTCCTATAAAAGGTAAAGCTACTGCCAGCACAGACCACATGGCTGCTCTCCATGAAGCTCTGAGCATGCAAAGGCTTCTGGGTACATAAGTGGTAAGGACACCTCCAATTTCTGGACAGCAACTAGACACAGACCACTTTACCACTGGCTTTCCCAGGGGTCAGAACAGGGCAGACCTGTCCCAGAGGGCACAGGGGTATTAACTGGGTCCATAAATTTTCCCTTTCCCATTAGTCATCCCTGTCTGTCCCCCAAGGGTGTCTCTGTATAGCTCTGGCTGTCCTGGAACTTGCTTTGCAGACCTTAAACTCAAGAGACCAGTCTGCCTCCGCCTCCTGAATTGTTGGGATTAAAGGTATGTGCCACCACACAAGCAAGCCTCTTAGCAGTAGTCTTTAAGCCTTTTGAAAACATAGCATCTACCATGCCTCCAGGCCAGACACCTGTTATCCATTCTCCTGTTTATTCTGTTTTTTGCCTCCGCCTCCCTATGTGAACCACCACCATCACCTGGACATTCTTTATAGCAGTCTTGCTCAGAACCCAAACACTCCCCCACCTATGTGGCTGGCCTGATGTGGCTTCACAGAGATCCACTTGCCTCTCGGCCCTTTATGACAGAGATATGAGTTCCCAGGATTTAGACTAGCACCTCTCCCCCTACCCCCCAGGATATCACAGGCAGCATGCCAGAAGCCATGCCCCACCTCCCACTAGACTGAATTCAGGATACTATGCAGAAATTACAGATCCGCCAGTTCAGATTTTGCCAGTTTTCATGAAAAAATGTTTTTGGAGGTCTTATCTATAGGCTGATCTCAAACTTTGAATCTTCCTAAACTGTGATTATAGGCATGTACTACCATGTCCCCACCCACCCCCACCTTCATGATACTCTAGATTACTTTCACTTTCTTCAAGAATGTTTGCCTTATATGAAATGCTGTTTATTACTGTTTACGTTCTGGTGGCCTGGATGGTTCAGCCTGGCTAGTTTGTTTGTGGCTGTGATTTACTTGTATGGAAGTTATGCACATTGCAGTATCTCAAAATTTTGATAAAAACGACCTGAGAAGGATCTGTAGTTTTGTACTACCACACAACCACTTTAAGGAGAAAAAAAAAAAAAAAAAGAAAAAAATTGAAGCCAGAGGTGGTGGCACGTCGTAAGAGGCAGGTGGTCATCCATTAGTGCAAGACCAGACTGTTTGCACAGTGAGTTCCAGGCCAGCCCAGACTATATAGTGAGACTCTTACCCCAAAAATAAAATCACATCTATTTATGTGCATATATATGTGCATACCAGTATGAATGTTAAGGCCAAAGGCCAACTTTTGGGAGTCAGTTCTCTTTTCCTATGGGGGTGGCCCAGGGACTGAACTAGGTCATCAGGCTTGGTTACAAGATCAAGCTGCATCTAAACTGTATCTGAGAAGCTTTCTGGCTCACAAAGACAATTTCTCTTTGGAGGTGCCAGGATGTTAGGTTACCCTCTTTCTGGAGAACGTCCATTCATCTTTCTTTGGCTGAAGGGAAAGGCATCCAAGTTTACATTCAATACTGAAGCATAGGCCCCAAGCCATGGAATTTTAACTGCTAACCAAGACCAGGGTGAGACAGAGTATTTTGGTTCTTTACAGGACACAGTATGAAATGAATGATGAATGCAGAGAATGGGACTAGAATTCATAAATGATATTTCATTTATTCAATGAAAAAGAGGGAAATTAAGCCACTTTCATTCATTTTCTTCCAAACTCTTAAAACTCCCCTCATTAAAAACAACCAAAAGAAAGAAAAAAAACCCACACTGAGAAACACATTTGTACAAAAACAAACAAACAAACAAACAACAAAAAAACCCAACCACACAGTATCCCACCCCGCCCCTCACAAAATTGGATGGGTGTTATTACAGGAATGATAACCGACTGACAGACACAGGAAAAGCTGTGTTGAATTCAGGTTCTGTAGATTACCAGTGTTGTAAAAATATCTCCACTTGCATCTTTCAAACTGGAAAGTGATCATGTCACAGACCTGAAGTTACAAAGGACCACAGTATGAACCAGAATCCCCTTCTCCTAGGACTCCAGGGGAAAGACGTGTTTGGAGTGAATTTCCTTTGGGAGAGAATGGAGGGAAGGAAGGAAACCCTGGCCACTGTCAAAAGGCACTGGGGTCTTACTGGAGGCCAAAGTAACCGCCCCAGGAACGAGCACATTTCCATTTCCACTCCAGGGTTTCTTTATCTCTAGTACCCCAGGACTCTGGGGGTGACCAGGGCACCTGGAGGCAAACCCCAGGGTCTGAAAGGCAAATCTCAACCATGAATTTTTTTGTTCTGACGTCTAAGGTGTTAGTGACAGCTCCCTACACCCTCTCATATGTAAAGCTTTGATAGTCACATACAAAACAGACCCATAAAGTGTTCTCCCTTGTGTTCTCAATAATTAAACTGACACAGTGACGTTTGCTACTCATGGAAGGAGAGAAGGGAGGGAAGAACTGGCTGACGAAACCAAGACCCATCAAATTACTTATCAGCAGGGGTAGACACAGGCTCGAATTAAGGCATTGTTGTGGCTCTTCCTCTGGAATGGTACCCTACCCTCCCAGTGGGAGTACCCCAAACCTTAAAGCATAAAGCTTTGGAGCCAAGTGAAGTCTGTGTGCCTTCAGCACAGTCTCCACAACCCTGTGAGAAATGGAACATGAAGTCTCAGAAGAAGGTACATGAGGCTGCTGATGGTGCCTCATTTCTACTCCCATTCCGAACCTCAGTACCGCTTCAGAAATCCCATTCACCCTGGCTACAGCGAGAGGTAGTTTAGGGACCTGTACCACCCACCCCCACCCTAATAACCAAGTTTTCCGAGATAAAATATTTAACCACTTACCCTTTTTAGTTTTTATTCTCCCTTCCTTTCTTATAGAAGGAAGGCTTAAAAAACAAAGTTCGGCTAGATTTGGGTAGTGAGGGTAGAGGATGGCGTGAGGGGTTGGACGGGACTCCTAATGATATGCTGGTAGAGCCCTAGGCCCTTTAACTTTCTTGGTTAGTCTGTAAAAACCCAGGGAACCCCCCATATTCCAACCTTTAAAGTTCACACTGCCCTTAGGAAAACAACTCACCTAGTTCCAACACTGCAAAACTTCTGCACAGAAAGTCAGAATGGAGGGGGGAAAGGAGCTGGCTTATCCTAACGTTTGTGCTCTCTGCCACCACATACGAGGTACAGTGGTGTGTTCCTCCAGGCAGAGCGGAGCCCTGAACACGGTCCTCGACAGGAAATAAAACAGGGCACCTCTTCCTTCCCCAGCTCTTCTCATTTTGGTGCATTTGTATGTGGCAAGTCCCGGGAACTTTACCAGAAGCACCCCACTTAGGTTAGATAAGCAGAAATAAGGTCACTTATAATCCTTAAGGTGTGTCCTGCGGCTATCTCCTTCTGTCCATCACCATTTTTTTGGTTTCTATTAACTTAGGATGCTTTCCTTGAAAACAACCATAATAGGGGAAAAAGGATAATAATTATAGAGGATTATCCACTGAAGCATAAGACAAAGCAAAGACAGAGAGAGAGAGAGAGAATACTAATGTCAACAGGACCTGCAGACCAACTGCCAACACCTGCCACACTGGGACAGGGGAGACACAGGTTACTTTTCAAATGACCGGGGCACACTAGTCACCACACAGGCTTCCCATCGAGTATCAGCTAAGGACCTGACACGAGATATCAGGGAGCAGAGAGACATGGAACTTGTGCTTGGGGCTATGAGGAAAAAAAAAAAAAAAAAAAAAAAAAAAATTCTGAAAGAAAACCAAGGAAGCCGAAACACAAGTCTTGCCATCCCCATTCGGCTTGTGGTGGGTGTGGAGGCTCCCTGTATCTTCCAGGCTAGGGAGTGGCCGAGGCTGGTGGGCCTGGAGCAGGAGGTGGAGGGACCCCATCTGCAGGTGGAGGCGGCGGCTGCTGCTGTGGTGGAGGAGGATCTGCAAACATATTCAAGGTAACTCGTCATTGCTGGAAACACAGGGAGGCTTGGGAAAGTCCATTCAATGGAAAGTTACAAGGACTCTTTTGGGGACTGTAGGGTAAGGGAGAGAGACAAGATTTTGCTATGTATATCCTTGGCTGATCTGCAACTTGCTGTGTAGACCAGTCTGGCCTCAAGTGCAGAGATCTGCCTGCCTCAGCCACAGTGCTGGGATTAAGGACCCACACCACCAGGTACGTAACTTTCTTTGCAGCAGGCAAGTAATGTGAACTCAGAGGCTTGCTACCTGAGGTCAAGAGCATAGAAGCCAATCAGCTGCTGCTCACATTGCTTACCCCAATCTAAGAAATGGAAGAGGGAGGTGCTGGAATTCATCCCACCCTTCTCCAAGGACCACTCCCTTCAAGAATCACTCCAGACTTTTTTTTTAGAACTTAATTGTATTTCTATTTTATTGTATTCTAATTGTTTTCTCTACTAATTGTGTTTTTTCAATTAGATAATCAGAAACTTCATGGGCTAGTTCTGTATCTTTATCTTTATTCCATGGTGTCTAGCCTAGCTGGGCACAGGAGAGATTATCAATAACTTCTTGCTGATTAACTGTTCCCACCAGGGCCACAGAACTTTACTGAGGCAGCTGCTGACAAGCTGGACAGTCCTGGGAGGCCTTACAGCTCCTCAACCGCCATCCTCGGGATTTCTGGCCCAAAGTAGGCCAGGTCCTGAAGGGAACAATTAGTGTGAGTGTCTGGGGTTCTTTTCTATTTCAACTCAAGCCGCTTTAGAGTACAAAGGAACTCTAGAGATCATTTAATCCAAGACTTTAAAACCTCTACATCTTGCCAGAAATGAAAACATATCAAGCAAATAATTAAAGCATGGCTACACTAATCAGGCATTCACCCGTCCATACTCCCAAGAGATTTCTAGCAAACCTCTACAGACTTTTGAAACATTCTGAATCCAATCATCTCATCCCTTTGTGATCTTTGAGTAGAAGAAGAGGGCAGAAAGCTTTTCATGCAGTGTGGCCTATCCTGTCATAAGCTCAGACTTTCCGAAGACCCTGTTTATACAAGGTGACACATTCCACATTCTCAAACTCTTCCTTCCAGGACCCTTTGGGATGGAATCCTAATGTTAAAACCAAGGAGACAAGTGATAAAGTCCAAATAATACTATCTCTGTTCAGCAGAGATGGCAAATTGGGCCAGCTCTCTTGAAGGCCAATTCTTTCTTGCCTGTGAGGTGACTTGGCAAGCATTTTCTTCCACTCTATTACAGTATCTGACCAGGAGCTCAAGGGAAGTAATTTTTCATATGGAACGGATTCTAAACTCAGTTAAAGCAAGACTTTCTTGTGTGTGTCTACTTTGTCTTAGCCCCTTGGATTGACAGATCAGGTGTGCATGCCTCTGCATGAAGCCAGCTTCCCTGTAAGGAAGTTTCCTAGAGTATTACAGTGCACTCCAAGTATTCTGTAGCTCCCTGTTGTAACTTATTTCTCTGTGTGTGCATAGAGAATGCACACACATGTGCATATGCATCCGCACATATGGATGCACAGCTGTGCGCTGAAGCTGGAAGACAACATGTGGGAATCAGATCTCGCCTCCACTATGCAGATCCCAAGAAATCAAACTCCTGTTGTCAGGTCTAGTTATAAGTGCGTATACCTGCTGGGACATTTCATCAGTCCTAGCCTGCAACTTTTACTAAATTCCATCAAACTCTAGCACTCAGCCCATTATAGCAGGAAGTCATAGAAGCAGTGCTTAGGGACATTGGTTATATTTCATCTACAGTCAAAAAGCAGAGAGAGATGAACACTCCTACCAAGGTTTGCATTTATTTTCCTAATTAAAGTTCACACAGGCCAAGGATTCTCTTTTTTCTCCCCCAAAAGAGGGATTCTCTGCATAGCCTAGGCTGTCCTGGAACTCGCTCTATAGAACAGGCTGGCTTTGAACTCAAGAGATCTGTCTGCCTCTGCATCCCAAGTACAGGTGTGTGAGCCACCACTGTCTAGGAGGCCAAAATTTATGTTATTTAACTCTGTTTTGTGAATAGGAGCTAATATCTGACCACATACATTGATTCTTAAGGAATCAATGACTATGGCAGGATCCTTCTCACTGAGCATGTCTATCTGGTTGGAGGCAGATCACAGACTCTGACACAACCCTATGGAGGCCAAAGCTTGGGCTGGGGCAGGGAGAAGGCTTATGGGAGAAATGACCCAGGCTCTGAACATAAGTTCAGAGGGATGCTACTGTACTTCTCTCGTTTCTCTCCACCTCGTGTTGTTTCTTTGCAGCTCCTGAAACCTCTCACCTCAGTGTATGAAGGGATTACCAAGAATAGCTGTAAGCACTTACTCCTGTCTCTAAACCAATTTTTTTCTTCCTTAAAAAAAAAAAAAAGAGGAGGGTTGTATTATGTAGCTTCGGGTGGCCTGGAGCCCTGCAGATCAGGACGGCCTCACACCTGCCTCTGTTAGCAAGTACTGGGATTAAGAGAGCACATCAGTATGTCTGGTCCAGTTTCTTTCTTTCTTTTTTTTCCTTCTCCCCTTACTCAACACTTTTAACCTTGCAATTCTTGTAGGGGAAGTAACAGCCAGGAGCTATGCATGTTAGCTGAGATTCAAATTAGTCAAGTTTAACCGTGAGTGACAGGGAAGCGGCTCACCCACAGACCTCAGTACTGAGTATACAACTTAAGTTTCACAACAAAAAGTCATCTTCCACAACTCATTGCTGCAGGCTAGACTAGATGGGCTTGCTACATCTCATGAAGAAAACAAAGCCTCTCTTCCTTATTTGTAGCCCCCAAAGCAGGACGTTGGGGTAACGTCTTCCCACTGTGCTACTTACACATGCCGTTTGGTGCTGTGAGGGGTACCCGGGGTCCTAAGATGTTTCCGGGCATTGGAGGCATGCCAGGAGGGGCAGGGGCACTCCCAGTAGGGTGGATGTTGGCTGCCACTGCAGGGATCATGCGGCCTGGCATGGGCTGCCCAGGTATCATGGAGCCAGGACCTGGTATCTGACCTGTGGAAGGAGATTTAAAGTATTTTAAGTAAATATGCACAGGGAGGAAAAAGAACCAACTCAATGTCCACAAGTGTATGGAAGGGCACATACATGCCATGATATGAATATGGAGGTTAGAGGACAACTTTTAGGCATAAGCTGGGTATGTGGGTTCTAACCACTGAACTTAGATAGTCATGCCTGAGGGGCAAGCACCCTTACTATCTCACTGGCCCGATGATCGGTTGTTTGGTTTTGTTTTTCGAGACAGGGTTTCTCTGTGTAGCCTTGGCTGTCCTGAACTCACTTTGTAGATCAGACTGGCTTCGAAATCACAGAGATCCATCTACCTCTGCCTCCCCAGTGCTGGGATTAAAAGCGAGCACCACCATGGCCAGCTCTGATAATCAGCTTTATATTCATTTCTTTGTGGAACACTTAATTGAGGGAAGTTCACTGACTTCTCAACTTTAGTACAGGAAAAGTAGTAGCTGTTAAAAAGGAATTAGGGCTGAGGTGACAGCTGATCTGACATGAACTCAACTGGTAATAATGCTTTTCTCTTGTGAAAAGAGGTTCTGAGCTCAATTCCCAGCATCACATAGAATGTTGTGGTATATGCCTATAACCCCAGGATCTGGGAAGTAGAAACAAGATTTCAAAGTCATCTGTTGATTAGAAAGAGGGGGTATGAAGCCAGCCTAAAATATATAAGCCAGGCTCAAGAAGCAAGCAAGCAACGATAACGAAAGAGCAATTACAAAGACAGTAAGACAGTTTCACCCAAAGAAAACATTCACGCTGCTTACCCTGAATGAGCAGTGGCACATCACATGACATCATATCCTATCCCATGGCAAGCACAGACCACAGAGAACAGAGAGGGCTTTTAGGGGAATCGGTATACAGAAAGCTTCACTGTCAAAACTTCCTAATCTGAATTCCAAAGTTCTATCTCTCCCTGACAGGGAGGAATCCCTAGGTAATCCAGGAAGTACTGGCCCGGCAGAATCATAGGTGAGGTTGGGCTGAGGTGGGAGAATAGGTTGAATGGGATAGACAAACAACTTTATCTCTTCCCAGTGTTTTAAAATTAATGATGGGAAACAGAACAAGTAATATCTCTTATTTACTCACATACTGAGACATTAGACTTCTAACATCCATCTTCATCCTGCCCCATCTACCATGTATGGCTAGGACAGAGCATTATAAAAGCGATAGGAGTCTGTGAGCCTCATCTTCACAGAGAGGACAGAGCCACCATGAGGTAAGGGAGAACCAAGCAAAGAGGAACATTCCAGATGTATGCTCAATGGAATGACACATGACACAACCGTCTAGGATCACATCACACATTTTAGTTTCACAGCCTCCTTCTATAGTACAGGCTGCTGAATCCACGGGCTCCGGTGACACACCAGTCAAGAGCCAAGAGACAACACCACCCAACAGGACAGGTACAGAAAAGCAGCCTGGAAACTCAGTGGCCATGATCTCCGTTCTACTTCAGTCCATTCTGTATATGTGCTCCAAGGCAAGTTACTTGATTTAAAATAAACCAAACAGCTGTCCTCCTTCACTGCACGGCCTTCGTTTTGATCAGCGCACTGTTTTATTCTTTCAGTAGTGCCTTATTCTGTCATTGGTTCCTCTACCATGATTTTGAGAGGCAGTGTGGTGCATCAGTGAACTTGATACAAACTTGAGTCCTTGAAAAAGAGGGATCCTCAATTCCGGAGCTGCCTCCATCACACTGGCCTGGGGCACTTGTGTGGAGTATTCTCTTGACTAATGACTAATGTGAGAGGGCCCACCACACTATGGATGGTGCCAACCCTGAGCAGGTGTCCTGGCTTGGATAAGAATGCAGTCTGAGAAGCAATGGGAGAGCAAGACAGAAAACAGTGCTCCTCTGTGGTTCTTGACCTGCTCTAGTTCCTGCCCTGACTTGCCTCAGCAGGGGATTGTGACTATGAAGGGCAAGCCTTCCTCTTCAAATTGCTTCTGGTCACGATGTTTTATTACAATTACAGAAAGAAATCTAGGACCAAGAGCCAATATTATTATCTTTTTTAAATTTTTTATTTTTTATTAATTACACTTTATTCATTTTGTATCCCCCCCATAAGCCCCCAATATTATTATCTTATAGGGAGTAAAATTAAGCTTAGAAAAGTCCCAAAACAACTTTTATTTTTATATAGTGTCTTGATAAATAGTCCAGGCTGGCCTAGAGCTCACTATGTATTTCAGGCTATTCTTAAACATGTGATGATCCTCCTGTCTCAGCCACATAAATGATGGAATTATAGCTATGTGCCACCATGCATGGCTCCAAAGCTTTCTTTATGGCCAAAAGCAGTGGAAATCATAAAATATATTCAAGTCTTCTAACTCAAGGTCCACTTCTCTTCTCACTCAATACAAAATAAAACAGTTTGTGTGAGTCTTCACTGTATCACACCTATAAGATTTCTACTTATAGCTGGCTACACCTTTAATCCCAGCCCTCGGTGAGTTTGAAGCCAGCCTGGTCTAACAAGTGAGTTCAGGACATTTGGGTTTGTTCAACAGAGATCTCCCTAGCTCTGCCTCTTAACCTTCACCCTGAGTGCTACAAGTAAAGACAAGAAGGAAGCACACCTGCTTTCAACATTAAAAAAAACAAAACCAACAAACAAAAACCACAAAAAACCTGATTTAATCACCTTTTACAGGCTGAACAACAATAACCCCTAATTTTGAAATAAAAATGTTTGAGTACTTGTAAAGTCTTTAATAAAAAAAAAAAAATGTTTATTTTCATCTTATATGCATTGATATTTTGCCTGTGTGTATGCATGTGTAAAGATTCCAGACTTCCTGGAACTGCAGTTTTAGACAGCTGTGACCTCCAGGTGGGTGCTGGGAATTAAACCTGGGCCCTCTGGAAGAACAGTTAGTGCTCTTAATCGCTAAGCCATCTCTCCAGCCTCTTGAAATGTCTTAAAAGTCACATGTGGAGAACTTAAAACAAAACAACACAATAAATTTTCTTTTTTTAGGACTTCTTTCTTTCTTCATTTATTTATTATGCACACAATGTTCTGTCTGCATGTACACCTGCAGGCCAGAAGAGGGCAGCAAATCTCATTACAGATGGTTTTGAGCGGCCATGTGGATGCTGGGAATTGAATTCAAGACCTCTGGAAGAGCAGCCAGTGCTCTGAACCTCTGAGCCATCCCTCTAGGGATCAAGTGTTAGGTTGATATTCCCCCTGAAGTAGTTTTAGGGAGCACAGCTCTGACTGTGGACTGAGATGAGACCATCTGGGATTACCTAAGAAGCTCTAATCCAATAAAAGGGATCTGAGAAAGAGCACAGGAAGACAGGTAGGACAGAGAGAAACATGGATGGCTACAAGCAGGGGAATGCCACGTGACCAGAAGGTAGAAGGAACAGAAGCACACTTCGCTCAGAATGAGGCACGGCTGGGTGCAAGAGACCTAATCTTTGGGCTGAGAGAATAAATTTCTACTTTTTGGTGACAGTTTCATGTGCAGTCCATGCTAGCCCCACATTCTCTTTGTAGCTAATGATGACCTTAAACTGATACTCCTGCCTCTTCTTTTTGAGTGCTGAGATTAAGTGTGGTTTTACAATTTTTTTTAAATACAGAGCTGGGGCTTACACTGGAGTCTTCATGCATGTTCAGCAAGCCCTCTGCTAACTGAGCTGCATCTCTAGACCAATTTTCTATGGTTTCAAGTCATACCAAATAAGTGGTAAACTTGATAACGCATGGGAATGGGGGAGCTGGATCTGAGGATGTAGTATACCTGGCTCCAGACACAATCCTTGTGATCACTGTGAATTGTGAAAAAAGGTCCTGCCAACTTTCAGTCCATGTTGAGAATCAGTAACACAAGCCCTCCACCAACGGGTTAATAATTTGCCCCAGCCAGCTTTCAGAACCAGCAATATAGAGAAGAGCCATGTTCCACCAGAGAAAAAGCCAGTCAACAAACCATCTGATAGGCATCACAAGGAGATGTTTGTCCCTCACATACTACAATGAACCCATGAGCGCTTACTCTAAGGCCAAGTAGTACTTTTTCTGTATTTATCTGCTCAGTGTCAGTGGCCCATGTCCCTATTTCCCATATCTCTTCAGTAGTAAGCTGGGGCGAGGCAGTTTTGTGGTTTCTTAACTCCACAAGACCAACAGCTAAAACAAACACAAGCAAGCAAACCCTTTCCTTCACTTATTATCAAATCTGAAGCCTGAGGGGGAAAAAATCTTTTGTCATAGACAGGATTATAAAGCCATTCTCATTGGAAAAGGTGGCAGCAAAAACGAAAGGTTAGTGTAAACCCTTCTGCTTCTGAGATTCAACTAGCCTGGCTGGCCAGCAAGCCCTAGGGATCCTGGCCCGCACCTGCCCAACTCTGGAGCTACAAGTCTATGGTGCCAGACCAGGCTGTTATGTAAGTACTAGAATTAAACCAAGGTCCACACACTTTCACCAGCAGGCAGTTTACCAACTGTGCCATCCCCACAGCTCCAGAAAAGGTGACTGAAAAGTATCAAATTTGAAATAGAAATTAAGGACTGGAATGAAGACAAAATTCAATGTCTTATCCATCTGAAATCTAAAGCCACTCCCCCCCCCCGCCCTTTTTGGTTGGAAGTGATAAGTGACACAATTATTACCACCTAAAGAAAAAAAAGAAAGGTCTCAAGATAGTCTTGCTAATTCTTACAAGCTTAAAGTACAGCTTAAATAACACTAAAATACCAAGGAGACATTACTAAACAAAAATGAAAGTGTCCATTAAAAGACACAGACACAGACACACACACACACACACACACACACACACACACACACACACCAGCATTTCAATTCTGAGGTGGGGGAAGGAGGAACGAGAGGTGAGAGGAAGGGGAGTAAAGGGAGGAGAGACAGTGAGCAAGCTTAAGAACAGCAGTGGCCAAGCACAGGATGGTGGGAGTCTGACCTACATACAAGCG